GACATATAGTTGTTTCACATTGTTCTTTTTAAAGAGTTCTAAACACATCACTTTTACCAAGTATAAAATCACAGTGTGTATGAAGATTCAGTTTAGATACTAAGCAATATTATTCCTTTTATTCTTAATGGGAATAAAGGATAATAAAGACTATAAGTTATTCTGGTTTTGCTACATACTTTTAGTCAATTAACAAGGATACCAGAAATAAAAAATAAGTTATTTTCTCTGAATATAATGGAAAGTGTATAAGACACTGATTAATATTTGACTGTTCTATAAAAAAATCATTTCACTTTTTGTCTACTATGTTAATTGTTTTATTTTAATGCTCATTTGGACTCTTTATGATTTTTAGAAACTTTTAGACTTGATTCCACATTCCTAATTTGAGCTTTGAAGCATGTTTTTCCAAAAGATATCTATGACTAGATGTTCACGTATAAGTTTTAACACAATTTGCTTTGGAAATCCAAGACAAGTAAATGCCTCAGCATTGTAAGAATTATCCAAACACTGGGATTTATAAAAAAATTACTTTTAGTTTAGAAAATCTCAAAGAGAATTTGCCAAGATCCATCTTCTGTGATGTTAAAATCCCAGTATCAATTAGAGAAATACAACATAAAAAAACTTGACTGATTTACACCCAGAACTCTTTGTGTCCATGAGCTTTCTGAGCTTTTGTCCTCAGGTTTTTAAATTTCTCCCAATTTCCTCCAACAGAACAATGAATAAATAAGCTTAAAACTCTTGCTATGATTGAGGGAGTCTGTTTCACAGTTATGAATGATAATACACTCTAAGATAATTTCAGATCTTAAAAGCATATTCATATCTCCTTTGAAAATTGTTGTACTTCATATATATCTTACCAAAAGCTATTGCTTTCTTCCTTTCTTCTAAGGGTCCCCCAAAAAAGTTTCTAAAGTAACTGCTGTTTTTGGTCCAAACAGGAAATATAGACTCAGGAATAAACATTTCCTACTCTGAGAATTAAGAAAGCATTTTAAAAACTGAAGTATAGTAACCCGAAGGGCTTACTCACCATCTTTGAATGTATATGTACATGTATATTAGGATATTGAATACAATAGAAATCTACTACCACCCATTAAGTATCTATGACACGTTAAACATTTTAGAAGAAAAAATAGCTAACATTGATTGAATGTTTGCTCATCACCGTGTGGGGAGATAGATCTACACTCAACAGTATCCAAGGGGAGCTCAGATAGCTCCTATAATCCTTTTCACAAAGTTTCAGAAATTCAGAGACTAAAATCATGAAGCAAGGAAAGTTATGTGGAATTTACATGAAAAATCCTGGAGCATCTGTAACTTTCTAATTCCAGTTTTTTTATTTTGTCACTTCTGTAAATCTCCTGAAGCCAGATCTGTGTGTTTGCCTTTGTGGTCAAGACACATCAAAGGGACTCTGGGGACCTTAGTTTTCACTCTCAGCCTAGTTGTCTCTTTACATAGAGGGATGATGCTTAAGAAGAAGAACCTCAAAAAGAAAGTGAAGGGAAGTAGGGTAGAAGGAAGAGAATCAGTTGAAGCTGTATAGGCTGAAGCCTAGGTGGATGCCTGGGACCAAGGGGTAGAAATCCATGTGTGTTAACTATTTTGTCAAAAATAATATGGAACTCTTTAGACATTACAAAAAATATTGTTCTTTATGTGTTTTATTGTGTAAGTGACCTAAAAGGATCTTTTTCACTTCACTGCTACACATTCCTATCTATTCCGAAGGTCCAGTGTAATTCCTCCAAAGTTCCTCTCATCCTGAGCCTGGTTCTCTCAGGACCCTAACCCTTCATGGGAAAAGTCTCTCCCTCTCCCTCTCCCTCTCCCCCCCCTCCCCCTC